TAAATATTTGTGGCTGAGCTGATAGCTCACGGAGCCGGAGTTTCTGGCCTCGCGTGGCCACAAATATCAAACTTGATAGATATCGGTCTCACAGCCACGCGAGGACAAAAATCGTGCAGAATCTGCGCGCAAACGCTGAGCTATCTGCTGAGCCAACGGCCTCTCTTGAGGCCGTTGGCTCAGCAGATAGTTCACCGTGTGCGGCGGGCTTTATGGGCAGGGATCGCATTTGCCGCCGGAACATATTGATTTGCCGTCAGCGGTAGTCTGTATCGGCGGCAAGTAAATGCCGTAGTAGCATTTAGTACCTGACGTGGATATTCGTCCGAGCATCGGATACTTATATACACACAAGTAAAAAAGCCACCCTATCACTATCCCTAAACCTAACACTAACTTTAAACCGACTCGGCTATCTTATATACGCTAGAACCAAAATTAATCTATGGTGTATAGCCTTTCGTATTGATGCGCAACAATGCTCGGGCGAATAACGCCACCGAACTAGTATCCACGTATATATATATCGTGGATATTCGTCCGAGCATCGGATACTTATATATACACAAAATATACACACAAGTACAAACAGTCACCCTATCCCACGGAATAGTAATAATCACCACGGTTCAGTGTGATTTTACTACTAGTATTTTGTATATATTCTTCATATGTTTTCAATGTTTGTCGATTACAAAGTCACTGTGCATTTTAAATCAGAAACCTGTGTATGCTGCTGAGTCAGTCCCCACTACTGTGTAATTTAATTTTTAAATCAATATTTCTATGACAGAAAGTCTTCAATTGTTAGATTAAATAAATGAATTTCTTAAGAATTTCGTTCAGTTTGACTGAATAACAGACGTTTACATTCTTATGTGTATAACTATTAACCAATTTGGCAATTAGCAATAATATATCATAATAATATTCACATCTTTGTGATGAGAGATATATAAGAGCCATTTTGAAACAAATGATCATAGCGAATTCATTGAAAATATTAGTGTATTGATTCAACTCGTGTAAACATATTATTCTGACGGTATATATAGCTTGCAGATGTTGTATGGGTAAACATAAAACAATGCCGTGGAAACAGGGCAATTCTCTTACTTTTAATTAGGTAAGATAAAATAAGGTCATGCATGCTCTATAATGATTACTCGATTGTGGTCAGTTTGCTGGAATGGATAATCGCTTTGGGAAATTCCAGCCGATTGCCATTACTAATATGTAGGTTATATTGATTATAGTAATATAGTACACGTCTATCGATCAGGTCGAATATGCCTTTATTGAATATCTGTAGACTACTACAACGCGACCTCCAGGCACCTAATGGAGAGACACTAGACAACGGTAAACGTGTGCCGACCAACTGCTATTCTGACGTCAATACACCTATAATATACCCAAGCAAAGATGGCGGAAGAACTTCAGGAATATAGTGAGAGGAGCGCAATAAAGAAGACGTTCAGCCAGGAGTCAGACAGCAGACAGGCACTATTTGCATCTAAATCTGATCAGGCGTGTGCATTCTTCCAGGTAAGTTATACAGATGATTATGTTCGATATCAACCAGAAATACCTTCTGTGTACGTGCATGCGTGCGTGCGTGTGTACATGTATGTGACACATGGTTCTAGGACAAATACCCCCTGGGAAATCCCCCCTCTCAGACCATTACCCCCGACAATTACCAAGATAATTTACCATTATCATGCATACAAGCGCTGCTTTTAAAATATATGTTTTCTCCTGATATAGATGTGGGATTTGTTACCCAACCAAACGACGTACCTAAATCATTAAAATGTAATGCCAATAAATGTTTGCCAATGCTATGTTCCATAGCTTATGTTATTTGGTGAATTGCAAATCGGATTAGGCCCCAATGTACCATAATAAATCAAATTAAAATATATTTTCTATGTTTCTCTCTAGAGATTTCCAAAGCGTTACCTACTTGCGGTTATGGCGTTTCTTGGATTCTGTAATGCCTACACTCTGCGGGTGAATCTCAGCATAGCCATCGTTGCCATGACAACCAACAGAACTCAGGTGGAGGGAAATGGAACATCTAATTATGTAAGAAATCTGTGAAGTAGTTGGCGGGTGAGGGGTTGACTATTGTGTATTTATTATCTGTGACAATTATTTTGTATGTCTCATTGTCTGGATTTACTTGCTGGTTGCTAGTTGGTTTCCACTCAGTTAGTTCACATTGGGCAGGAGGCATAGTTAGGCATTGGTTAGGCACTAGTTAGGCATTAGTTAGGCATTAGTTAGGCACTAGTTAGGCATTAGTTAGGCACAGTTAGGCATTGGAGTTGGTAAAACTGTAAGAATATTAATTATTAATCAGCACTAGTTGTTATTGTGTTGTTAATTAGTGAAGCTATAAATATCTAAAAAGTAAGTATTTTAACATTAAGGTTGACAGCTTGAATATGTCTTTCTACGTACTAATCAATTTTATAATGTCAGCATATATTAGTGTTACTTTAAATTAATAACATTCTTGGTAAACCAATACATCAGTGAGAAGCTACTATTTTTCCTGCACTGTGGAAATTTTGATGGACGTGATCTTTGTTGAAAATTTTGATTGCCTAAAATCGGAGGGAAAATGTATACTGTGAGTTTTAATTATAAATTTTAATAGTTGAGCAGAAAATATATTTACTTATACCTTTATATATCAAAGTTTATAGCACCATCCCAAATTCAGGCTCAGTTGGTGGTAGAGGTAATAATTGTCATTTACTCTGGATTATTGAGTGGTGAGTAGTGGAAAATCAGACGTGAGATTGCTGGGTGTGGGCAGACTCTAGGAAGGATATTAGCGAGAAAGTGTAGGAGTCTTAAATGTTCATTCCAAGAAATGTTTTACAAAAGTGTTGCAATTTAGTGCATTCTGTGGTATTTCAAATAGTATATATATAATATAGCTTCGTAGCAAGTAAAAGACATAGAAATAAACATGGAGGCCGTTGTCAGAAACAAAATTAGTCGCAACATTAGTCTTACCATTAACTTCCACTCGTAAACCGTTGATAGAAACATCGTAATGTTGCGAGAACGAAAAATCCTAGCAAATATCCTCATAACATTACGAGAGCTCAGACCCTCTCGTAACTTTAATATAAAGTTGAAAATAACACATTTACACTACGAATTACAATTATAGTGATATTATATTTTATAATAATGAATAAAATGTGTGTTTTTCTTGAAAAACACGTCAAAATCATTAATTATCTACCGCTAATAAAACAAAACAATACATTTACAAATGGCGTATGGCATTTGTTCTCTTGTTCTAAAGGTTTTCCACGCTTGCCACGACTCTCGCGTCTCGCGTTACAGTGTGAGAATTTGTCTTGTTGTGCAGAATTAATTCATGACCACGTCGTTTTTCATCAAATATTATTTATATGTGGTTAGCCATCATAATATGCATAAATTACTGTGATGTACAATAAATGTGTATGAATTTGAATTTTGTGATTGATTCTCATCCAATCAGCAGCCTTGTGATGAAGTTCCTGTTATCGTAAGTTTTCTAATAGCTGCGATGTGTTTCTGTCAACGCTAGTCTCGCAACATTAGCATTAGTCGTAAGTGTTATCGTAGCATTAACTTTAGCATTAACTTTACGATGTTTCTGACAACGGGCCCCCCTGGTGCATATATAATAAGTTTTAAATAAGTGCACGACCATCATCAGCCGTCAGCAGTAAAAAGTAGGCTATCAGAAATACGCTGTGGCGGCTTGCTAGCTCTTATCCTGCTCCATTAATTCATAGATGCAACATAACACGCCACCATAGAACTGTTAAGAATAATCCAAACGTAAACTATATAATAGTAATATTAAGGTAATGTATGGGTCTGTCAGTTGAGTACCTGGCTTCTATATTCCCACGAAATTACAGTAATATAAAAAGTCTCGGCTACTTCATCGTTGTATGGCAGCCAGAAACCTCGTTGCTGAAGGCATACAGATTCCTGCTATTGAATAAGCTAATACCTCTATTCCACACAGACCACGAATCCTACGGATCGCTACGAATTGATAAATTTTAGGATTCGTGAGAATTCGTGGAATTTTGCAAATTTCTTGTCCAAATCGTGACGCTCACACGATTCTGTTACGATGCAGGTACAATAGAGTTACGAATATTCGTGGGATTCGGCTCGAATCGCTCAAATATTGTCAAGAATTCACTACGATTTACAAGAATCGATTACGAATACTGCACGAACGTTAGGAATCAGTTACGAATCAGTTAGAATATGCCGAATGCATCTACGAATCAGGTACGATTAAAATTGAATTCGTGACTATTCTTGACGATTCGTGGGATTTTTCCTCAAGATAGGTATAGCCCTCACCCCTGCTTGAAATTTTGGACCTTTGGGCGTGTGATCAAGGCATCAGTTCCAAAATGGATGTTAAACGTAGAGCAGCTGTAGTACTGGTTCTGGAACTGGAGTATCAACACCAGCTGCTGAAAGCTAGAAGAAGACTGCTTCGAAGAAGAAGGAGAAGAGCCCCCAGGTGGTGGGTGAGACCGTGGCTGACACCAGCTAGAAGGCTAGAATATGGTCACTACAACAGACTGATACAGGAGCTGAGGGTGGAAGATGAGAATGCCTTTGCTAACTATGTAAGAATGCCACCCCACATGTTTGATGAGCTACTCAACAGGATTAGCCCAGTCATCCAGAGGAGGGACACCCCCGAATGAGTTAAGAATACCTACGAATGCCTACGAATCTATTACGATCAATTATGAATCAGTTACGATGCCTAAGAATGCACTACGAATTTGTTACGAATTAACTACGATTTTTTGGAATCGAGAGTTTGTGGCCAAAATTTTGAACAACTTAAAACTTTTGCCACGAATTTCTGATCGCTCAAGAATTGAAAGAACTGACTACGAATAAATACGAATCAGTTAAGAACTTCACGAACTGATTACGATTCAACTACGAATCCTAAAATTTATCAATTCGTGGTCTGTGTGGAATAGAGGCATAAGCTTGCAATAATGGCATAATAACAGCCCAAACACCGACCACTCACTCCACGCACGCACGCACGCACGCACGCACGCACACACGCACACACACACACACACATCTGTATAATTATATATATATATATAGAGAGAGAGAGAGAGAGAGAAGAGAGAGAGAGAGAGAGGAGAGAGAGAGAGAGAGAGAGAGAGAGAGAGAGAGAGAGAGAGAGAGAGAGAAAGACAGAGGGTGGGTGGGTGAATCAGTGGTTGGTTGGTTGGGTAGGTAGGTAGATAGATAGATAAATAGATAGATTGGTAGTTAGGTAGGTAGCTATATGGATGGATGGATGGATGGATGGATCGATGGCTTGATCGATCGATCGGTGCGAGGTTGGGCGTGGGCAGGGAGGTGGGAGGATGCGGTCAGGCGAGCAGGCAGGCAGACGGGCAGGAATCACAACTGGTCAACCACTCGTGAACTTATGCTTATACAGAAATGCTTATTATTATACACAACAAAAAAGAAATGCATATTGCATAATATGTATCTAGAGTCTATAGAGTGACCTTCGAATTCGTTGTCATAGGAAATTTTAATACTTCCATTTAATATCATTTGGTTATCTCTAGCACCTTCGGTCTGTATCCAAAAGCCAGATTAATGCTTCCCACTCGTACACATGTAGGTATAAATGTGTATACATACAAAACCATATTACAGTGTACCATATTTTCATCTGCTTTTAATTATAGGCTCCCGACTTCCCTTGGGACAGCCATCTGCGTGGCTATATTTTAGGAGCATTTTTCTATGGCTACATTATCACCCAGATACCTGGAGGTAAGTGCAGCAGATGCTGCATCGTAGATATTGATGTGCGTGTCGTATTTTTCCGAAGCCAAGATGCAGGCGTATATTGAAATATTCATGTTTCTTTCAATGATGTATATACTTAGAAGTACTCTCAGTAAATTTGATCAGGCGTGAATAAAAATCAACGCTTTTATTCGCTCCTGCATGATTACATGCACAATGGCTTGCGTAGTCGTAGGTGGAGTTGACGTCATCTCGTTATTATTCTTGCAAGATTTTGAATGAAGGTTTGTTAGCCAATGTTACTGCAAGATTAATTAGAGGCACAAATTAGGTAGTGCCACCCTAGTCCTGAATACTACTGACTATACTGGCTAGTGACGACATGGGGTTACAGGAGCCGTCGTTGTCTGTGTGCAGCTGTATGCAGCTTTTACAACTGTTTGCACTGTTGATTCGCTGCAGAGAACCTGACACGGCCTCGCTCCCTCCGCTAGGAAATTGCCAGATTAACCTAACAGTTATAGAGTTAGGTTGGAGGCACGGCCGGCTTCATTACCATCTATATTGGCTATTGATCTGGAGAAAAATCTGACCGGAATTTAGGGAGAATAATCTGACGGCGTATTTATTGCAGCGCGACGCTGTTCACGGCTGCTCGCAGCCACAGCAGGGCATATGAATTGAGTTTTTCCAGCAAGAGGCGACACATTTTGAAAGTGCTTTTGCGTGTTTGACGAAAGCTCAATGGAGTTTCATTCAGTTGCACGGCATTGTGTTGCGTCCTAATTGGCACTGAAGTATAATAAGCATGTAAAGAAAGTTCTAAACCTGGATTTAAAGGGGGTTACATGTGCTGCATGCATATACTAATGGTGTCGTGTTGCGTAATGAAGTAGTATTGATCGGGCTGTCAAAGTCACGTTTGAGGAAGAAGGCTGTTGAATATATTTTTGAATAAATGTTTGCCCACTCTGAATTTAATAATGATAGTTTCTAGCTCCCACTCCCGGAGGGGGCACTCGCCTCGGAACTGGGTAGGGGGTGCCTCGGGGACCTTGAAAACCTCACCCTGTCGCAAACCGCTTTGCGCCCTAAAATACACCCTGTCCCAATATACTGCACTAAAAATATACCCTGTTGCAATATTGTACACTTCAGTTATGTCCTGTCCAAATTTATTGTTCCACGTTATCTATCATGGACCAATCATGGACCCGCCTACGCTATAGCTTATCGATATTGGCGTGCCGCTAAGTTGTTCATATTGAACCTATATGTTGGCTTGCCTATATTGGATTGTCTATATTGGTCCAATATCGGCCTATATTGGGCCAATATCAGCCTGCTTGCTGGGTTTCTAGCAGAAGTAGATAATACTAATAGATAGTAGATTATCTACTTCTGGTATCTAGCTAACCCTGTGCCAATAATTATGTTCGGAAAATATACCCTGTCCAGCGGCACGTCCCCAGTACCTTTAACAATGGGAGTGCCCCCCCCCACTATACCTTCACTTCCTTACTAATTTCTACACTGAGAATATTTCGTGAAATAAATTTTGTCTACAAACCCCTGCTGACAAGGTAGACAGTATTTATGTTGTACTAGTATCAACAAGACATTATTGTTGTGCAGCCACTAGTACTCTATTTGGTTTTTGCTGTGTAATAATGGATTTCGATGTTACAAAGTTGTTTGTAATCAATCTAAGGCTGGCTAGCGTCAAAGGTTGGTGGCAAGATACTGTTTGGCGTCGGTGTTGCCGGAGCTGGCATGCTGTCCTTGCTGATTCCAATCTGCACTGAAGCCAGCGTCTACTTGCTAATAGCCTGTAGAGTTCTTCAGGGTCTCTTTGAGGTTAGAATAACTGTACATACAGTAGTGGCTTCTTTGATTCATTTCAGTGTATAGAACTAATATTATTCTGTTTTCATATATGCATTCTAAATCGTAGTAGTATGTATTGTATATTATTGTATAATATAATATAATTTTTTTGTATATATAATTGTGTATAATATTATTATTTTCTCACATATGCTATCTAAATTTTTGTTATATACATGTACTTCTTTCTGTGCAGCAAATCTTTATCATGCCATCATCTTTGCAAGATTTTTCAATATATGCCAAACTTGAATATATATATAATATCAAGAGCAGATAAAGAAGGAGAGCGTACAAGGGTAAAATGCTGAAACCATGCTGCAGTATTAGTCGAATTAATAAACTTTTCCCATTTTATTTTGACGATCCTTTGCAGTATTATTGATTAGCTGTCTTACCTTGTTCATATAAAACACACCGCATGTCCCTACGATGCCGCTACGCTGAGATAATGAGCGGTGAAAATCTGGTATTTTCACCGAAAACCGACTCGAGATTAGTGTGAACTGCGTCCCTCACTCGAAGTGTTATAACTTCGGGAAACCTCGCGTGTTTCCGTCAATGAATGACGTCTGTTATTGATTGCCATAGTGATGACCCCCACCTGTGCCCACCTCACGCCCACCTCACGCTGGATGTATAGTAAACTCTGGTAGTATTACGTGAGTCAGCGCCACTATGGCGCTACACAGCGGCGACCGGAAGCAACACACTGGAAACACTTCGAGTGAGGGACGCAGTTCACACTGATCTCGAGTCGGTTTTCGGTAAAAATACCAGATTTTCACCGCTCATTATCTCAGCGTAGGGGCATCGTAGGGATATGCGGTTTGTTTTATATGAACAAGGTAAGACAGCTAATCAATAATACTGCAAAGGATCGTCAAAATAAAACGGGAAAAGTTTATTAATTCGACTAATACTGCAGCATGGTTTCAGCATTTTACCCTTGTACGCTCTCCTTCTTTATCTGCTCTTGATAATATATATTGTGCGATTACACGTGGCATACACTTGGAGGTTGTAACACAATCTATGAAGGCTAACGACAACTAGAAGAGCGCAAATATATTATATATATTTATATATCCAAGCTATACAACTTACAATATATTCTTGATAGATATCACTGAATGCTATATTATGTACCATTTAGCAATATCTGTTGACATGAACTTTTATAAACCAAAGGAATTTATTGTTATAGGGTATGGCCTATCCATCCATTCATGCTCTGTGGAGTAATTGGGCACCACCACTAGAAAGAAGCAGACTGTCAACTATTGCATTTTCAGGTAGGACTGATTATAAAACGTATCTTTACAACATATGTATCTTTAACTCTGTTGAATGGCACGAGTTTCGATTTGGTATGACTGTAGCAACAATGACTGATGATTATATTTCAATTAGATGCAAAGTTTGCAGCATATCTTTACATTACGCAGTTGGGGAAATTTAACATAACTGTGCTTGTCTGTCTTATTGCAGTTGCTATTAAACTACTAACCCTAACCTTTAACTGCAGTGAGATCAGCTTTCATTAATTGAAATGTATACTGTACATTCAATCCTGAGAAGTTGGTTCTTTAAATTTTGAATATTTTAATAAATTTCAGGCTCATATCTGGGTGCAGTGATTGCTATGCCATTGTCTGGAATTTTAGCAGAGAAACTAAGCTGGCAATCCGTCTTCTACGTCTTTGGTAGGTAATTAGTTTTATTTATATTCTTCTCTCATATTCATAGTGATGCCTAAATGAATGGTTGTTACAGTTACTAACTAGACAGAGTGCATACCTCCGCGAGCGTGTAACATGTATACATGTGTATAACAGCTGGCTCGCTGCTGGCTGCTGCTGACTGGACGCCCTAAGGCGAGCTGCTGCTGACTAGACGAACTAAGGCGAGCTGCTGCTGACTGGACGCCCTAAGGCGAGCTGCTGCTGACTGGACGCCCTAAGGCGAGCTGGTGCTGAATCGATCGTGCCAACGCTACACACACACATGAACACACACACGAACACACACACGAACACACACACGAGACCGATTACATTACCTCCCTGCAACTCCGTTGCGCGGAGGTAACTAGGTATGCATGACAGTTTTGTACATTCATACGTTTTACCATAGATACTAAGGTTACTTGCAACACAAGATGATAAATATATGTGGGAAATGTTTTTGCATATTGGAATCACGTATTTTAGATAAAAACACAAATGCCTGTTGGATGCTATTTCCCCAATTAAAATAGTATGAAAACTCTCTGTGTAGGTGTGCTCGCTGTTCTATGGTTTGTGGCCTGGGCCTACCTTGTCGTGGAAGTCCCAAGCAAGCACCCAACAATTGGCGTTGTGGAGTTGGAGTATATCCAGTCTAGCATCGGATTCACTCACGATCAAGTAGTGGTGAGTGTTTAAAAAGTGGCCGTGTTATGTATACCGGTGTAGCAGTGTATCCTCGATTACACCACTCTGAAAACCACTGGAATGCTATAGGCTTTGACCTAACCTGATTCGATTTCAACCTAGATTCTCGACTGTGTAACACAGACAGCACCAGTACCAGTGGTATTTCTGTCAATTGTACGTTGGTGTTGTAAACACAGGGCCGGGGGGAAGCAAATAAACATTGGTCAGGCCATTTAGCATCAATAGGAGTGTTTCACGTGACGTCATAGATCAGGTCACGTGTATTTGTTAAGTGTCATGGTTGGCAGAAGCGAAGCGTGCTGCTTGACATTTACGGGTGTTGCTATCCCACGGGCGTGGAGGGAGGTCACGTGATAACGTTGACGATGACGTTCAAAACGTTAACGCTAACGGTAACGGTAACCCTCACTCCAACACCGCCAACACTAAATCTTACACTAAATATATATGTATCGCCGCGCTATATATAGGCATTGTGATCCACAAAAATTAATCTATGGTGTGGGGACAGATATCATGATGCAAAAACCT